GTGTGTGTGTGTGTGTGTGTGTGTGTGTGTGTGTGTGTGTGTGTGTGTGTTTCCCCTTCTGCCGGAAGGACATGATTGAGTTTGAGGCCTCTTTTTTTAAGTCCACAATGAAAACAACATGTGGAAGGCTGATTGAATATTTCAGTTGCTGGAGGCCCCTCTGTTCTGTCTGATGTCTTCATGTTTCTCTGCTGCTCTGATTTCTCTCAGTGTTGGAAAATAGAATTTCTCCCCCCTCAGCCTGGCCAAAGATTTTGAGCCAAGTAGTTGCTTCTGGAAGCTTTTATCAGGGGCATAAGGGGATAACTCATGCTGGGGCCAGGTATCGCCAGACTGCAGATGAGCCAGGGTCAGTCTTTTGTTTCTCAGATTACCTCCTGTGAAAAGCTGTCTCTAAGGACTGGTGTTGGAGACTGTGTATGAGTGTGCAAGTGTGTGTTCAAGTGTGCTTGTGAGGATGTGTATGTATGTATTTGCCTGTATAAGTCTGTGTTTGCACACATGATGGTGTAAGCTGTGTATGGGTATATATATGTGTGAATGGGAGCCTGTGAGTGTATATGAATGTATGCACATGGGGGCTTAAGAGTCTGAGTATACAAAAGGGTGTGTGTATGAGTCCGAGTGTGTATGTGACTGTGTGAGTTGGCATATGAGGGTGAGTGTTATGTATGTACCTGTCTGAATGTGTATGTGAGCCTGTGGTATAAGGCTATGTTCCCATGAGGATGCATATTTGTGTAAGGATGTGTGGGGATGAAAGTGCATGTGTGTGAATGTGTGTGAGCTTGTGTGCATGTGAGAATGTGTCTGTGTTTTGTGAGTGCATGTGTACAGGGAATGTGGAGTCAAGTACATGTGCATGGATTCAAGTCTATGTGCATGCATATGGAAGTGAATGTAGGTGTGTGCGCATAAGGGTGTATGTGCACATGAATGTACATGAGTAGGAGTATGTACATGCATGTGGGAGTGCATCATAAGTCTGCATAGACTTGAGGATGTGTGAGTATATAATAGGGTATGAATGGGGGGCTAGGGGAGGATGGGAAGGGGTGGGAAGGGGAAACAAAGGAGGAGGCTACAATGCTTGATAAGGAATGTACTCATTATCTTGCCCATGTAATTGTAACCCCTCTGTACAGTATTTTCACAATAAAAAAAATAGGGTATGAGTTTGGGTTAGTGTGCACATGAGGGTATGTTTGGAGTGTGTGTGGTGTATATACATGTGTGTGTCAGTATTGCAATGAAGGTGTGTATTTGTGTGTGGGTGTGACTATTGAGTAAATGAGTGTAAATGCATGTGTGTGAGCTTGTGTGCATGTGATGGTGAGTGTATTGGTGTATTGGTGTGTATGCACATGAAGGTGTGTGGGAATCTGAATGCACATATACAGGTAAGTCTGTGAAAGTGTGTGCATGAGTGTGCAGTGTGGAAATGTAAGTGTGAGTGTGTGAATGAGGTATATGAATATGTACATTGAGGGTGTATGAATGTGAGTGTGTGAGCTTAAGTGTATGTGTTGTGAGTGTGTTATGTGAGGGTATGGGACTGAATGCACTGTATGGGTATGAGGATGTGTGAGCACACAGGTGTACAATGTGCACACAAGTATGTGTTGGGTGTGTGGTTGTGTTAAGAAGGATGTGTAAGTGTGAGTGAGTATACACATAGAGTGCGTGTGAGGTTTGTGAGTCTGTGTTTGTGTGAGTGTGTTGGGTGCTGGGTTCAAATGACTGGAGACAGGGAGTGTAGCAGACCCATGAGTCAGTGAGATATACATATGAGGGCATAGACATGAGCCAGAAGCTGCCTCAGAACCCCCAAAATCCTCTCAGAGATCCCCAGGAAGCTTCATGGTGTCACTGGCCAAAGCCAGTGCTCTCTCATCCCTTTCATACGGAGGGGCCCTAATCACACAGAGTCCCAGAACACATGAGTGACACAGCCAGTCTGGGACTTCTGGTTGACATGTGCCCTGTCCCACAACACAACACTCGACCCTCCTTGTATGGCATTTCAAAAAGTTTCCTCATATCTTTCCCTAGAAGCTCCAGGCAGGCCCCTTTCCCAGTGCACACACCCATCAACATACACATACATACAACACCCACCATCTTTGGTTTCTACAGGGTCAAGTGTGGGGAGGGTAGAGACTTGGCAGTGCTAAGGACAGCCTACAGGAAGACCACATAAAGTTTCCTGGGACTGGAGGGAGAACTGTGTGTGGAGCACCAAGAACAGGGACGGCTGCTGTATGTGCATTGAGCTACGGTACACAGCAGGGCAGGTTAGGGCAGGAGGACCTTGAGATTCCAGTGACACCCTAGAGCTTCTACTGTGGGCTGGGTGGAAGGAATAGCCCACAAGCATCTGTTTGTTGAACTTGATTGTCTTTCTGGCTTTGCCATTTTTCAGCTCTGTGATTTGAGGCATAACCTTGGATTCCTCTTTCACCTGCATTTTGGCACCTGGGAAGTAGACACAGATGCATCTGTGTTGGCTGCTCAGAGAAACAATCACAGATGCTGTACATGACTATGAGCCATTTCTGTTTTGTTCTCAATGTTGTTGTTAGGTCTTCCTGGACAAATTCTCTTGTTTTGTTTGTTTTGTTGTGTTGTGCTAATATGGGGGTTTGCACTCAGGGGACTGTCCCTTAGCTTTGTCCGCAAGGCTAACACCACTTGTGCCACAGCTCCACTTCTGGCTTTTTGGTGGCTAATTGGCAAAGAGTTTCACAAACATTCCAAACTGGGTTGGCTTCAGACCCCAATCCTAAAATCTCAGTCTTGTCTGTGTAGTTAGGATTACAGCTTGTTTTGTTTTTTAAAGGCACTTTCCTGATCTAGAGATGTGGCTCAGAGGTACAGTACTTGCCTAGCATGTGCACAGCTCTGGTTTTGCTCAGCACTGGAAAAAGAGCATTTCCTATAACCATTGAAAGATGAGAGTTGTTTTTTCTGCTCCTTGCCTGGAATGGGGGATCCTCCTTGGTTATGCAAATGCAGTCCATTCCCTGGGATTGTCTCCTTGGGAGCAACTTGTATTCCCTGCAAGTGAATTCATAGTCTGATGGTGGACTTGGAGCTCCATGAGTTACTATGAATTGTGATTGTCAGAATAGCCCCTATGCAGATTCCTGTCTCTGCAGACTAGGCTACCAAAAATTGTCCCAAAGCAGGCAACTGGCAAGCCTCTCTAACTCCCAAAGGCTACCAGCCTCTGGTGCACTTGGTCATAGGTCACAGCTTTGTTCGTGGCCACACACCCAGGATCACCTGTTCAGGACTGAGGCCTCAGGGGAAAATGGATATTCAGAGGTGGCAGCTCCAGAATTGAGAGCTGGCCTCCAAGATTGGGCTACACATCTACTGTCATGTTCTCTTTGAGTCTAGCAGGTTGATTTTTATCAAAAAGATATGTGCTTTCTTTTTTCTCAGTCTTCCATGGAATGTGCCAGAATTATGGAATTATGAAAATAGACCTGGCTATTAAATTTTAAAGTTAAATTTCCAAGAGAAAAGATTTCTCCCATGAAGAATTTTTAGTTTTCTACTCAGGTATCTGATGACAAATGGACAAGATATTGGAATAATATTCAGCCTTGAAAAGGAAGGGAATTGTGACTCAGATGAGCCTTGAGGACATTCAGTGGAGTGAAATCAAACAGACACAATAGGACAAATCCCGTATTATTCTTCTGATAGGAAATATCCAGTAGAGTCAAATTCACAGTCAGGCAGCAGAATGGCAGTTGTCTGGAGCAAGGGAAGGGGTGGGGACAGAGTTGCAGGTGGTATGAATGGATCATGGTTGGCTGCTGCCCTGTGTGAATGTATGTGATCTTGCTCCCCTTAAGAGGGACTGGAAATGGGCAATATTGTGTTATGGATACAAAATAATATGAAAAGAGAATTTCTAGTAGTACTTACTTAACTCCTAGTACTTAATTCCTAGTGCTTACTTAACCCCTAGGATGGTGCTACAATCTGTTTGCACAGAATGGTAGCCTTAATTTTACACCTCTGTTACAGTGTGCCTAGACATCGACCTACCTGTGAATTATTCAGAAATCCAGACTCAATACCTATTGAATTATTCAGAAATCCAGACTCAACCCTGCCTCCTCTGGTCAGTGGCCTTCAGACTGAGGGAGAGGTGGCTGAGAAATCTCCACTTCTTAGCCCTTTCCCCAGTCTAACTACTTTTTAAAGAGCTCTGTTTTCCTAAAGCCTGTAATTACGTTTGCCTCCAGGGTACCCAAGCATTTTTTTCCCAATGAGCAAAGAGCATCCTACAATTATATGATGATTTGTTGAGTGCAGGCCAAGTACAGACAGAGGCTGACTCAGCTCTGGGAACTGACACGCACGTGTTGGCGTTTTCAGTCCTGGAGGCGCTGCCAGTGGGCCTGGGCTGATAATTAATATTAAGAGTGGAGAATTAACTGATCCACATTGCTGTTCACTTTACACTGCCTACGAGACAGGGAAAGCAGCCTGGTGGGCTGTGGCTGCCCCATGGGAGCAGGCCCTGTCTTCACAGATGGTACTAGGTAAATATCTCCAGCCGGTGTGCATGGCAGCATCTGAGGCTGTCACCTGGTGCTGCCAAAGCCACACACACAGCCACCGGGCCAGGGAGCGTAGACACTGGCAGAGTGGGAGCCTGTGGGTGCTGTCATCTCTGATTTGCGGTGGAGGCCAGTTCCATGGGCTTGCCTGTAATCTCCCCGAGTTCAAAGAGCGCAGAGCTGCTTGTCTTTGTCAAGAACGCAGTTGGGGATCTTTTATGTGGAAGATGTAGGATTCTCTGGCTGACTTTGATTATTTATTCATCCTCCTTCGTGGGTGTGTGATAGCACCAGGCACCACCGAGCCCTTGTCCTGGCTACTCTTGCTCAGGAATTCATTGAGCTTAAAGCCCTTTGAAAATTGCTTTTTGAGGGAGGGGAAAAGTTTTTGAAGTCCTTTTTCTCTCTCCCCCTCCTCAGTGCCGCAGCACCTCTTGCCACCGTTCCACGCGCCCCTGCCGATTGAGATGCGACACCAGGAGGGAAGGTACCATTACGAGCCTCACTCTGTCCACAGTGTGCATGGGTAAGTTCTGCCCTCTGCCTAGCCACTCCTGGCCTGCAGCCCCCTCCCCTCCCCCACCCCCTAGGGAGGCCCACTTCTATCTTGGTTCTTCTTTTTGGAGTTCTTGATCTATGTTGTTTTGTGGGGGCTTGCACCTTTGCCATCTGTGAGTGTGAGTGTGGAAACACATCACACATGCACCCTCACCACACTCAAGCTCTTTCTTTGAAGGGCACTTGGCTCACCCATAGCCATGTCCACAGCTCTAGGGGTGTCTTTGTGCATCTATCTATATGTGATTGAAGGCTCCTCCCCCATCTATGAGGCAAGAGCCCCTCCAGGCCCGTAAGCTCCTGTCAGGGATGTGTTCACAGGCACACCCTGCTCAGCATGGTAATTCCGAGTCCCCTTGTTAACTGTCTCAAGTGTTCATACATTGTACAAACCCCCTACTCTAAGTGGCTTTTGGCCTCTTCCTTCTCCACGGAGAAGGGCTGTGTTCACCAGCACTGACTCAGTAGGCCCAGCTCTGCCCACTCCATTCCCACTTGCGGCCTCCACATCCCTCACTGATGTCATTTCTCTCGGTCTTTATGATTTGAAGTTTAGCCCCTTGCTACCCAATCTCCCTTCATTCCAGAAGAGAGGACTCAGCCTCCTCTTCACACCCAACTTCTCAGTTACTCCCCACCACTCCCTGGAAGAGAGTTTCTAACAGGATCCAAATGGCCCCCAGGCTTCTGTCAGACTCCTCCAGCCACCTCACCTGTCTACACCATGTTGCCATCTGTCACCTGTCTCTACATCTTGCTCCTGCGGCCTGCTCAGCCTTCTAACTTGTCCCCTCTATCTAACCACCTAGGCTCAGCTCAGGAGTCACTTCCTCCTAGGGGTACTTGGATCTCCCACACTGTCACCCCAGAATGAACTGTTTTCACAGGTTCTCCCAGCAGGCTCTGTGCTCTCCTTGGGATCCTGTGTCTACAGCAACATATACTAATAGGTGCACAATCAGAGCTTGCTGAGCAGAGAGCCCTTGCCAGGCAGCCCTGCAGGAGACCAGTCCTCTGCTGCTTTATCTCCTGCTGGAATAAGATCAATAGCATTTGCTGAGCGCTCAGAGCAATGTGCCCAGAAGTCCTCCAGCCAAGCCGGAGCTGACACCTGTTTCAGGAAACTTAGCGCCTGCCCAAGATAGCCAACCTGAAGCTTTTATTCAAACCCCAAAACAAAACCATTGCTTTTTAATGTTTTTTTTTTACTTTGTAGTAAGTTCAGACATGCAAAAGCAACTGCAAAAATCATAAAAGATTCTGTATTCTCTCCTCAGCTCTTTGAATGCTAGCAAACACTGTATATATCCAACACTGAAATGAGGCTGTGAACCAAGTATGGTTAGCTATGGGGCAATGTCTTCATTTCTTCAGTTCAGGATCCCCAGCATCTGATTGTGGAATGGGCATCTGATTATGGAATGTCCATAGTCATCTTTGGCAGGGATAGCTCCTCAATCTCCTTTGTCCTTCATGATCTTGACACATTAGGAGAGCACTGGCCAGTTACTATACAGTGCACCTCTCTGTTAGGTTTGTCTAAGTTTGCTTCATAATTTCATTCAGATTACTCATGGAGGGGTATTGTACCATAGAAGTGATGTTGTGAGTTGTATCTATCAGGATACAACATCATGGGAAAAGTTGATTTGTTTCTGGAAGTGATGTCTGCTGGGATTCTCTACTTAAACTGTTCCTTTGTAACTGATAAATATCTGGCTGGGAGACACTTAGAGAATTTGTAAAAGTCTTGCTTCTTGTCCCATTTTTACCCACTAACTTAAACATCCATTCATGATTCTTTATAGAGACTACAGTTGTGTTTTCCAGTCTGTGTTTTCCAGTCACAAATTTCTATTTCCATTATTCCATTATTTCCATTATTCACTCCATATGCATTGATTGGAATTTTATTTTAAGGAGGAAGTGTCCCTTCTCATGTAGTGTATTTATTTGATTTGTAGATATTCATGTTATTCTGTCTTTGCTTTATTTTGGTCACTGTTTATTGTGTTGTCCCAGATTTGCCCACTGGGTATCCTTTCAAGTAATCTTCTGAATCTTTATGACATGTTGGAACCTTTCCATTGTATTTCCATGTGTATGCCAGGTCCTTACTTGACTGGAATGTACGCAGCATCTGTGGGCTCCTCCATGAGTGATGGGGTCATTTTCATTTCTTTTTTGTTTCATTTTCTCTGCTTGCCTGTGAGGCACCGCCAACTTCAGGTTGCTGAGACCTGATTGGATCAACTGAAAACATAGCAAGGGTTGACACTGATTAAGATGCATTGTACTCATAAACTGCTTGGTTAAATGGCAACTCCTTTATACAAGCACTTAAAGATAATAGAATATTTTTTAAAGTAGCATCATCTGAGACTCCTAAGATCATTATGGGAGTTTGGTCCCTTCTTGGGAGAGGGTTGATGCTCTCACTTTGGGCTCCTCAGAAATATTTGGCTGCCTGGGTGGCATAGATCCTGGGCATGGCAAGCCTTCCATGAAGTATTCCCATCTCTGGGACACATGGTGGGAGACATGCTGCGAGTTTTATGTTTGCTGAAGGAGTCCCTACACGTGTGTCCTTCTGAGAGTACATGTCCCAGCTAACTTCACTGTACTCCTAGGGTTGGTGTTAAGAGATCCTCAAATTGAGGACTTCCATTTCTCAAAGAACTTTGCCCTGTGGATGGGTCCTGTTGATGTGATCCTTAGCATTTCATCATCTCTGCCATCCTAAGAGGCAGTCATTTTGTGTCTTCTCCATTGTGACAATGAAGAAACTGAGGCAGCACAAGTAAGTTAAGTAACTAGCTCTGAGGACCACCCACTTAGAGAATGAGGGAGTTAGAAATCCCATCATGATCCTGAGCCCACTCCCTTAGCTGCACATTGGCCTTTCTCTTGGGAGTCCTGTGTGAATCCTAAGTCCCCATTGAGTCTAGCTTATCCTTTCCTAGCAGCATATGAAATCCTCTGTTGGACACTATCCCTGGTTTGTTTGTGTCCCTAACCTCTGGACCTATAGCATCAGCTTCTGTGGGGAACCTGTTGGAGACACAGATGGCCAGGCTGCATTGGCCCAGGTCAGCATAGAAGGAATCTTTGGGATGGAGCCTGTGATCTGCATACTGTACCATCATAGGATGCTATCACAGGCCAGGGATTGAGATCTTCTGGCTATAGATAGACTGAACACTGAGTAAGGTGGCCTCAGCCACAACCTTCCCTGGGTTGGGAAGGAACTTTAGCCTGGATCTTCCTAACTTTGGCCTTCCCTGGGCCTGATTCCTTCCTGGCCAGGGGTTGGAGAAGGTGGATGATGGCAAGCAGCAAGCCAGGACTGGTGAGGCAGCCAGTGGCTCATGGAAACTTGTCACTCATTGACCTGCATGGCTCTTTAACATGATGGGTTACCTGAAAGACTGCATATTAGGTTACTGTGGCTACTGTAACAAATTAATGCCAGCTAAATGGTTTAAAATAATCTAAATGGATTCTCCTCGAGATCTGGAGGCCAGAAATTGAAATTAAATCTTACAGGACTAAAAGGAAGGAATTGACAGGACCAGTTTCTTCTAAAGGCCCCAGAAGAGAACCCATTCCTCTAGCTTTCTCATATCTGGATACCTCCTTCATTCCTTGGCTTGCAACCCTAACCTGACCTCACATCAACTTTCTCTTGTTCCCTGCTCTTAGATCATATCTGCCTCTTCTGACTTCTCCCTCCTCTTTTCTCATCCAGACAGCTGTGGTTGCTTTTAGAACCCACCCAGATAATCCAGAATCATCATTACATCTCACAATCCTAATGTAATCACATCTACAGAATTCCCTTTGCCACTGATAGTGACAGTCACAAATCCCAGGAGTTAAGATGCAGATCTGCTTAGAGGCCATTACTCAACTCTCTTGGGTTCACTAAGCCCCAGAGCTGAGTCTAGCTCTTACCCCATAGGCTACAGTGAAGTGCTGGATAATTTGCTCATGTCTGCCTGCAGTGGGCCAGGTCTGCCCCAGAGTCTGGTACCATATCCATTCATCTGATGGTTCCATCAGGTGGGGTGATAAGCTTGGCCTTGTAGATGCTGAAGCAATAGCTCAGAAAGAAGTAATGATATCTACATGTCACCCCTGTAAAGATGGGTATGCTTATGTCTGAGGAAGCTGAGGAGACCAGATTCTGGGACTCAAATCCCATCCCCAGCTGAAGAGGGCTCAGCTATCATGTGCCACTGGCAGGCAGAAGTAGGGAGTTCTAGAGCTTGTATACCCATAGTAACTCCACATTATTCTCAGGACAATGGGTTTCCACCCAGTTTACAGAAGGAAGACTTCAGGACAGGCCATGAACTTTGGGAGGCTCACCTCTGTCCTTTGTACCCCCTTCACTAACCCAGGTGGGCACCCAAGAAAAATGGCCTGAGAAAAATGCCCCAGTGGCTCTGGCTTCTATAATTAATGTGATCCGATCCTGGTGGAATACCCTGATCCATCAAGTCTTAGTGGTAGCCGGCTTCTCTTTGCCAGTACCAAATGTACCTAATTACACAAATGTGGTATCATCTCTTGTCATCAGTCTGAGCCTCTGCCTCCTTCTTGAAGTCCCAGGACTACTTTTCATGGCTTGCTCAAGGGTACACTTGCTACTCTAGCCTCATCCCTTTCTATCACCCACTGCTCAACCAACAAGCCCTCCAAGATGGAGCACCCATGTGGCGGACTCTTTTGCCCCTGTTCCCTGAAGGAATAGTTAGTCAGCTGATATCCTGGCTCTGCCAGGCTGCCTGTACTTGACTCCAGCATGGTTGTGCTAGAGGAGAGCTGATCATCATGAAGTAACCTCAGTTTTCTCATCTGTAAATAAACCAAATCGGCTGAGATAATTCTCGGTTTACTGATTTATTTTGAAACTACACTGGGACAATGTAGGTGCAGCCTGTGGAATAGTCTGGAAGCTTTCTG